AAATAACGATATAATTAAGTTATATACTGATATATTTAGTTGTCAGTATAAATAACTTAATTATATCATTATTTATTTTGTTTTGTGACAGATGCCGGAGATGGATTGATTTTTAACAACAATATGTGTTAGACAAGTAGAGGCGTGATATGAAATTAGTATTCCCATCATTGTTTTAACAGTACATTCAAATGAGGAAAGTGATAGATAAGATTTTTCAAGCTGAAATAGATTTTTACTTACCAAAACCCCTCAAGTATGATTTACTTTTGAAAGTTATAGATTATATAGAGAATAAAAAGGTTTGAAGAAGAATCTTGGAAGATGAACCCTAACCTTGGTGTTTTTTGAAGTTCTTGAGCGTAGGAATTTAGGAATGAATGAGAGAGTTTGATTATGGAAAACTGATTTTCTACATGATTAGGGTTATTTAGATAACTCCCCAAAAGTTTTTAGGACAAAAATATCCTAATTTTTTTAATTCAAGTTGAGAGTGAGGTTCGTTTTCTCTTTGAATCGCAAAGCAATCGCGGAACATCTGCTAGGTTAAAGCGACTCTAGCAAATTAGTCATAACTTTTTACTCCGAAGTCGGTTGATGCAAACTTGACGGTGTTGAAAAGAAAACTCATAAAACTTTAATTTGATAAGATATGGGTCGCCTAACTCTTCATATTCTAAGAGAATGGTCGATTGAAGTAGACCTTATATGGACTCATGTGAAAACTTAGCCGATAGAAATGTGTAGAACTTGGCTTGGTATTAGAAATCCCTTATGACCTTAAACCACATCTGATACACCTTACATACTTATGAATTAACCTTAACACACGTTTACAAGTAGGATATCACCAGGTTCAATTAAATATGCTCACTATGAATGGTTCGAATCTAGCATAGAATTTGCTATGTGTTACAAGTGTTCTCCTCTCCATTGTTTCCATTATGAATTTTCACTATTGTATTTGCTTTAGATACTTGATTTTTCTTGTGCTTTGCTTGAGGTGCTGAGGATTTATCTGAAACAAACTCTCCACCTTCTCAAAATAGGAGTAAAATGGCATATACATTATCCTTCCTAAACTCCACTTATAAAATTATATTAAATATGCTTTTGTTGTTACAATGTAAAAAATCTAGATAATAAATAAATACCCCTTCAAACTATATTCAAAATCGCAACGACACACCTAAGCTTGACTACAATCCTATTGCCCCCTAAACAATTTATAATGGAATAAATGGCATCTGAAATGTTGACGTGACAAAAGTAACCAAATAAGTTTCCTTTGTGTTTATTACACAGGCCATATCATTTTTAAGCATTAAATCTTTTTACTAAAGCACCGAAGAATTTGAAGTTACCACACGTAAACGGATTTGGCTTCCCTCCATTTCATCAAGTATGCATTTGGATGAAAGATATGTGTACTATTTAATTGTAAAAAGCCAAGATTATATTACATTAAGTAGTTTCATAATCATAGTCAAGTGAATAGGTTTTGAAAAAATAATTTCTTAACTTTGATAAGAAAAATAATTCCTACAAATCTTGGAACCCTTTGATTTCATTTTATATTTCTATATTCAAATATTAATATTGTACATTATCTAATCACTTCCTGTGCTACAAATTTATTCTTGAAATATTATGTTGAGAAATTTAAAAAATAAACGAAAGAATTATCATTGATGATAGAAATCATATAATAAAAATGGGAAGTAAAAAATGTGTTTGAATTACAAATGTGAAAGTATCCAAAATCAAAATATTCTTTTTTTTTTTATTTTAAAAAAAAGGCAAAATATTTTGTGAGACTACTGTTAGGCTAAACAAATTAAACGTTGTTAAGTTCATGTTCAATAATTTTAATAATTAAATATAAAAATATAAAGTAAAATTAATGATATAATTATATGGATACCAAAAATTGAGAAGAATTAATTGTTTTTACTAAATTTAGAGAGGATATTTTTTCAAAACTTATTCACTTAACTATGGTTATGATATTAGTTAATGCAATATAATCTTGACATTTAATAATTAAATAATACACATGTCTCTTTTCTAGATGTGTACTTGATGAAATTAAGGGAAATGTAATGGAGGGAAGCCAAACCAGAATGGGAAGAGATAAAGGAAAAATAAGTTATTTTGTTGGATTTTTTTATTTAGTTTCGGATTTAGGAAAATTAGAAAAATATTTTTTTTTGTATATATTATACCTGTTAATTATCATCATTATTTTTTGAAAAAAAACCAAACTAAATCAAATATTGTCGATTTAAAAATCTAAAATAGAATAAAAATCAATTTATTTAATCTATTTTGTTAGATTTTTCAATTTGGATAATTTTTTATTTAAACCGTGAACACCCTACAATTCCTTGTTTCAAAATTTCAATCTCACATTTCAAAAAAAAAAAAAAACTTATCTCTAAAATCCTTTTGTAGGACATATATATTATTTTTAAACGAACAATTTATAAAACTTAAATTATTATGTTTTTTTCTCAAATGATATTTTTTTTATTTAAAAAAAAAAAAACAAATAGAAAGTTGGAAACATATTCATCTGCAAATAGAAAATCTCGTCTTCTTCTTATTGAGGAAGAAAAATTAACAGATTACAAACTGAACTGAAAATCTCTCATCAAGCAAATTGAACTGCCGGTAAATACTACAATATATAACCGCTCCGTCAACCGTTTTTCCCTTCACAAATCCCCAAAGTATTCTCTCTAAGAAAAACCCATTGAGCTTTCAAGAATTCATCAATGGCGTCCACTGTTAATCTCTTCATCTTCCTCATTTCCATTTTCATCTGCACTGCAAACCCAATGTTCTGTTCAACATCAGAATCTCGTCGTCACCTTCTGCAAACTTCATCTCTGTCTCCATCTCCATCACCACTTCCGTTGGCAGTCATTCTCTCAAATCTTGGATTCAATGACCTCGCTGATGCTTCTCTCAATTCCTCCATCTCCACCGTTAATTTCCCACTTACCATTTTTGCCCCTACTGATTCCTCCCTCCTCACTTGCCCTTCTTGTTCCATTCCCCTTCTTCTTCAAGAACACTCTGTTCTTGGTCTCTACTCGTTTCACTTCCTCCGGAGTTTAGCATTTGGTACCAAGATTGAAACTTTAGCCCCAACTCGATGTCTCACGATTACCCCATCTCGATCCGGAAATTCCTCAAAGGAAGTGTTCGTTAATGGGGTGGAAATTACTAAACCGGATATCTACAACAATGGGTTCTTCATTGTTCACGGTATACAGGGGTATGTCTCTCATCTTTCTTCAATTTCTTGCAGAATTGAGAGTATGACTACTTTATCCTTCCCGTTTCTTCCGCCACCTACGGCAGCGTTTGCTGCCACGCGCTTGATGTTAAAAGATGTAATGGGTCGTTTGCGTACTGGTGGTTATACTTTGGTGGCACTTGCTATGAGGGTTAAGTACCCTGAACTAGCGGATTTGAAATCGATGACTGTTTTTGCAATGGATGATTTGTCTATTTTTGGTATTGGAATTGGGCATGAGTATGTAGCAAATCTTGGGTTTCATATTGTGCCTAATAGGCTGTTAATGGCGTCGGAGTTGGCGGAATTGGCTCCTAATACAGAGCTGTTGACAATGGACAAAGAGGGGAAATTGGTGGTGACTACTGCAGGTGGCAATGGTCCTTTGGTTCCAATGAGGATCAATTATGTTAAAGTCAAGAATTATGATCTTGTTTACAATAAAAGGATTGTGGTTCATGGACTCTCAACGCCATTTCCGCGTATCCATCTCCAGGATCGCTCTGCTGATGTATCCATAAGAATTTCAGATGGATCCTTAGGTCAATGAAGAAATATTATAAGCACTGTGAAATGATGGGGCATCAATGTAAAGGAGAAAAGATCATCCTTACTATACTATACTGTTGTTTGAAGCATTTTTTGTTAGTTCTAGAGAGGAGAAAACATTATTGTATAGATTTTTACTTGCTCTTTACAGAAATATAATGCCCAATTTGTTCTTCTTGTTTTGTTGTTGATTGTTCATCCTGACTTTTACTTCTTGCATTTATCGTTAGTGAGTGACCAAGCCAAACTATTACTTAAGCTTCCGTTTGATCATAGATTTTGAAGTTAAAACTTGAAACTTGAAAAATTGAGCTTTTGAAATTGCCTTTAGACGTACATTTTCCAACTTAAACATGTTATCGCATTAATTAACTTATTCCAACTTTTAAACCTATCCAAAAATGATGTCCAAGAATTGAGCATACATCATTAATATTGATATTTGCACTATATGGCCTTTTTGACGCCAGTTGCCTTGGTGGTTAGTTCTAAAGTGGGTTAAAGTCCTAATAATTCATTCCCACCCGCGAAGGAAATAAAATACGTCTTTCGCCATGAAAATTGAGAAATTTGAAAATAATAACTATTGTTTCTAAATTGATAAATTGTATTTGTGTTTTTAGAATTGTTTTTCAATTTTTGCGAGTGTTTTAGAGTGAAAAAAGTGAACAATTTTTTATGTGTTTTTTTTTTCAAATTCCAGAATTCAACTTCAGAATTTTTATGATCAAACGTGATTTTCAAAATTAAACTCCAAAAAATAATAATACTATAGGTCAAACGGCCACTAAGTTCTTGCATTATCCTTTCACTGCTATAAAATATTCAAATTACAATAAAAATGTATCAAATAATTATCCTGAGATTCGTTATTTTTTTCTCTAAAAGCTTAATAGCAATCCTCATATTCAGATATTCATTGGTAAATAAAATTTAAAAATTAATTATTATAAATCTTTACCTGATTTCATTACTTAAGTAGTTAAGTTTTATATATTAATATACTTTATTATAGATATCAGAGGCAAATAAGTATTTCAATAATTTTATATTAATATACTTTATTATAAATATCGGTAAGTATTTCAATCATTTTATAAACACGAAAAAGTACTTCCACCAAAATGGAAGCGCCATAACAGGTAAAATTTGGGGGCAAACCCAAATAGTAAAATACACGATTTTGTCGGAATTGGATAAAGCTGAGGAAACAAAAGGATGATAGCAACTCAGAGTCTCTCCTCCTCCGTTCTACTGCCGTTGCTTTGCCCTACACCGCCGGTCCACAGCCGCGTCGCTCGTTCTCAACTTTCCGATTTTGAGTTCGTGTCGAAACTTCCGTCAATTACTTTCCTTTCCTCTCACAAATTTTCTAAACGTACAAGGACTAGTACAGTTCGTGGAATCAATTCCAATGACCCAAAAGAGTCGGCGTTCTTCGACGAAAACGGAGTCGTTGAAGATATGGATAGCTATCTCAATTATCTTTCCCTAGAGTATGATTCTGTCTGGGACACCAAACCCTCCTGGTAATTCCTTTTTTCCCCCTTTTTATGTTTTGCATTTACCTTTGTTTATCGATTCCCTCATTGTTCGAATGTATGGGGTTAGCACGTAGTGGTGCTTTGTGTTTGCTAATTGCTATCCACCCATAGTAGTAGCAGAATTATTGTTTACGTAGTTTCCTGTTCTTTGAACTTATTACTATATGATGTGTTGGATAGGAGCAAGAACAACGATTCTGTAAAATCTCAAAAGGTTGCAAAATATTGTACTTGTTTTCGCTCGCAAGTCGCACAAAGTATTTGTGATTTGAATTGTGTGTGTTACTAGTGTGGTGCCAGCTTCGGTCTAGTCCATCATGTGCAAAGTGTGAAATGTTGGATATTGATTTGGGTCATGGATCACCCATGTGGACTGATGTGGTACGACCCGTTTGAAAGAGATAATACCAAATGAGGTTAGCTAGAAAATTACTCAATTTCCTAAAGAAAACTACCGCACAAAGATAAAAAAGTGAATATGTGATGAGTTTTTCTATTGGTAGTTTTTCTAAGTCCTCTTTTATATATATATCTTCTCCATCAGAAGAACAAAAGAGGGAGAATAAGAAAATATTCTTGTTTTGCTAAACACAAACACACAATAATATTAGGACAACTAGTTTGTAGGATCAAAACTTTGTTTCTAAGAGATTCAAAGCAGATTTGGGGTGATTCTTTGGTAGCAAGATCAACAATTTCCGCTGCTCAACATAGGAATCCAATCACATGTGGAAAGGATCCACTACTAACACAAGGATCATATTACTCGCAATACTCCGTTACTTCATTTACTACGTTAGTAGTTACTTATCCGATCCTTGATCCTCTAAAGAGTCGAACTCTAGTTCAATTTTAACTTTATATGCATAATTACACTTGTCACCTATATGGTAAGTGTAATGGCTCGCTGTGTATATAGTTAAATCATTAATTTTAATTGTCTTTCCTTTCTACTCGAATCTATCTAGGGGTGAACACTAATACTGAAAATCCGAACCAGACCAAATTAATTTGGTTTTCCAGTTCTTTGATATGGTTTCAGTTTTTTTTCGAAAGTTTGATTTTTCGGTTCAGTGGAAGGAGTTCGATTCTTCAGTGCATCGAAAAACCGCACTTATCTTAAAAGGTTTTAAAAAATTGACATTTGGTGTAATTTTAAGAAACAATTATACAAAAAAATTGTTGTCGAAATATAAATTTCTGAATGTCTAACAATGAATTATGCAACCAATTTTACTTGAGAAAAGCAATGACTACGTCATTAGAGTATGCTACCTGATTCAAAAAAATAAATCTACGTCATTAGAGCAATCATACACCAATTGAAAGCAATATCCGTTTTACATGAATAATATATTAATTCAAAGACCTAAGCTAAAAGATTATGAAAATATAAGTTTCATGCTAAAATTTCATACGAATAATTCCCATATATTAAATTACAGTAGCACTTTTTCAGAAAAATTGACAAAAAATTCAGTCAACTTCAAAAATTCATAAAGGCAACCAAAATGTGAGCAATCAATGCAGGCTACTATAATATGATTGCTGGAAATAACTCGTTTGGAATTTTTGGCATGAAACTTATTTTTTCAGATTCTCCTTGTTTAGGGCTTTCCTTGATATATTATTCATGTAAAATGGATTTAAAACGAGTGAGAATGTTTCAAAAGATACACAAATGAAGTTTTGAGAATCAATTAGATAGAAGTATTTAAGAAACTGATAAAGATCGAATATTTGTCAAAATAGTTTGAAAAATTATGTACTGAAAAGGGCATTATTAGACAATTAACAATTCCTCATACACCTCAACAAATTGATGCTGTTGAAAGAAGGCATATGGCACTATTGGACATGACAAGGTCCATGATACCATTATCAGATAAATAAGGAGCAAGAACAATGAATCGTGTACCTTAAAATCAGAGTGGAAATTGTTGATCTTGCTACCAAAAGAATCACCCCAATTTTTCTTTGAATCTCTTGGAAACAAAGTTTTGATTCTACAAACTAGATGTCCTAATGTTATTGTGTGTTTCTGTTTAGTAAAAGGAGAATTTTTTCTTCTTCACGCTCTTTAGCTCTTTTGATAGAGAAAATATATATAAGAGAGGACTTAGTGGGTGTTTGGATCAACTTATTTTTTAGTGATTTTTGTCTTTTAAGCTATTATTTGGTTTTGGAAGTGTTTGAATAACACAAAAAAGTGTTTTAAAGCACTTTTTTAAAGCTGAAAAGTACAACAAAAAAGCCAAAAGTCAAAAGTTGGGTGTTCCCAACTTTTGACTTTTAACTTATAAGCCACTTAAAAAAAGCCAATCCAAACACCTCCTTAGAAAAACTATCAATCGAAAAACTTTTCAGTTTCCACTTTTTAATCTGTGTTGTAATTTTATTTAGGAAATTGAATAACTTCCTACATAACCAGTGTTATTAAAAGCGAAAAGCGCAAAAAAGCTCTAAGGTCCATGAGGGCTTTAAGCGCAAAGTGCAAATAAAGCGTGGGCTTTAATGAAAAAGGCGCTAAGGGAGAAAAAAATAAAATGTGTATGTTTAGTCCAAAACTAATAATTATAAACATGAATGACAAATATATGACCAAAGAAATTGAATTTTTTTAATGATAAAGTGAAATATCAATTGTTTAGTGTCACTTCTTCATAAGAGGCTCATTGACAAGGAAAAGTTTGTCTTAGAACTTTGATGACGGCACTGAAGCGCACATAAAGCGAGGCGAAGCGCTTAACACGTTTTGAGCCTCGCTTTAGGGCTTAAGCGCGCTTAAAGCGCGCCTTTGATAACACTGTACATAACCTCCTTGGTATTCTCTCTTTCAAATGGGTCGGATCGGATCAATCTACATGGGTGACCCATGATCCAAATCAATATCCAACATGATGTTTCTTGTACTTTGATTATCGTATTATTTTGTTGTAGTTACTGTTCAATATACTTTGTGATGCTTTCACTTCTGTTTATTCTCTTTCTGGACTGTTTTCTTGAGTCGAGGGTCAGAAACAACCTCTCTACCTCTGAGTTAGGGGTAAGGTCTGCATAAACTCTAGCTTCCCCAGACCCTACTTTGTGGAACTACACTGGGTATGTTGTTGTTGTTACTGTTGCTGCTGCTGCTGCTGCCGCTGTTGTTGTTGAATTAACAGGGTATGCTTTGTACCAACTTAAGTCTCTGCTGGGAACCCCATTTATATAAACTGTTTTTGCTAGCCAAATTGATTCTCAGCTAAACGTGAGTGAGCAGTGATAATAACATTCTACAAGTTTTGCCATTGAAGGAGGCAGATTATAATTTTTATTCAGTGGGAATGCACATCCATCAACTGCATTCCCTCCTCCTTGTGGCTATAGGTCAAATGGAAGGTAGTGAGTAAACAAACATGCACTGCCATCGTTTACATCAACTACTACAACAGGATTATCAAAGGTGAAAAGCTACTACTAAGAAGCACTGAGATAGGTTGGGACTCCAAGCACAAAAAGGCTAAGAAAATATGTGCTTTGATAAAGGAAGGCGTAAATAAAGAAAAAATAAAATTTATACATAATATATACTGAAGATATATACATTATGTGTGTATCAGATGTACACATCTTAGGGCCTAAGCGCCTGAACTGAATGCTACAACCTTTTGACATCTAGTCTCTGGGTTTTAATCGAGCCTTTGACAACAATGCAATTGAACATGGAACCTTTTGTTGTTTGTTCCACTAGGACTAGATATTATATTTTCTCCCATTCATCTGCAATTTCGCATGTTTAATTCCAATGAATTTGGTGAATGATCAGAGTTCTCTGCAGCTACAATGTTTTCTGCAAATTTTAAGTACTCTTTTCGTAGTAGGTGTCAACCTTGGACAATAACTCTTACTGGAACAGTGATAATTAGCTTGAGCTGGCTGATTCTGCACTCGGCTGTAGCCACTGCAGTAGTGATGACTACAATTGCGGCATGGTGGTACATCTTTCTTTATTCTTACCCCAAGGTAAACCATTTTTAGTTTGTATTATCTAATACCAGATTTGATGCTTTTTCTCTAATCATGGTACGGGTACGTGGTACACAAGCTAATTTGCTAAATGCGCCAAATTCATTGATGCTTTTTCTCTAATCATTGCCCTATACTTGGAAGTACTGTGAACAAGGGTTAGTGTAGGTTGTCATCTCTATAGTCTATGTCGCCCAATTACAGTAGTAATTTAGTTCCTTTAATGATAAAGTGAGCCCAACTTCTTTCGGTCTGCCTAAGATTCAGTGGACAGTTACCTGGTAAGGTAGCATGCATCTGATGGACTTGCCAAGATGTGTGCAAGCTGACCTGGAACCATTGTTTTGAAGAAAAAAAGATATTGCTTCTCTTCCTGTGGACTAAAATACGATTCAATAACTGATCCTTCCACATTTCTCTACGCCTATCTGAAGGATTTTACATTTGTTTGTGATATAATTGGTATTGGATATATGCTGCAAAGGCTGTGCAGCGGCTAATCTCGAATTGCTACCGAAAAGGAAAAGAGATCTGAATATCTAGATGCATCCGCTATGAGGTAGCAAGTAAATGGATCTTCACGTTTGTTCAATAACATACTTCAGCATCATCTGATGTCTTTCTCTCAATATCTTTTCCTAGAGGTGAGGGTCAATAAATTTGGAGATGTGCTTGGGCAACATACTGTTGAGAGCGGTGTGGGGATTGTTGTTTGCAGCAATGCATGCATATCTTTTATCCAATGTTGTTTTGATGTATATGTTTATAATTCAGTTACAGCATGTGATGACAAATGAAGTTTCTTTGAACAAAGTTGCAGTGGATCAATCTTACACTATCCGTGAAACTTCTAAATGGCTGCTTTTGAATTTTGGCACTGTAAGATCACTTATCTTAAGTGGAGAAAGCGGAGATGTCGTTTGGTTTTCAATTGCAGTCGATGCCTTTGGTATAGCCCTAACCAAGATGCCTATGAAGCCAGCCTGTGGCAGTACAGATATACTCAGTTACTTTGAGTTTCTAAGGAGATGTTTCTACTTAAATGACCAATAGTTTTTAGCCTCCAGGATCTTTTTTTCCCTTTAAAGGTGACAGCAGTAACACTGAGTGGATTGTTACTGCTCTGCAGGTATATTCAGACATGATTGCAGAGAGAAGAAAGAATGTGATAAACGGTCTAGAAAATACACCAGTAATGTTAGGTGGACGCCTCTTGGGCAACAATATTCTGTTAGGTGGTGCAGGGTGGGGATCGTTGTTTATCTTATATCTATGTTGCTTTGATGAGTTTGATCTATATGTTTATAGTTCAGCCGTGTTTAGCATGTGATTACGAACAAGGTTTTCATCGAACAAACTGCAGTGGATCAATGTTGCCATGACCAATCTTTAGTAGATACAGTAGAGGTGTCATTGTATGCAGTTTTTAATTGTAGTCGAGTACTTTCACTATATACCCTTACCAAAAGGCAGTAGAGACTTTGAGCTTCTAAGGATATGTTGCTAATTATTAAGTGACCCGTAAACTTTAGCCTCTAGATTTTTTATTCTCGATGGAATTGTCTGCTGGCAACACACTCTGAATTGATTGTTAATACTCCACAGGCATATTCAAATATGATTGAGGAGAGAAGAAAGAGGGTGACAAAAGGTCTAGAAGATACATATGGAGAGAGGAAAAGCCAGTAACGGAAGGAGCAGGAACAACACTGCGTGCATACCGAGGTGACGTAGATTCATTTCACAACGTTTGCATTGTTAAACTGCGAGTCAAAGGACCCAATAGGGAGATCAATGTAGCTTAAATTTTTGCACTTGCTGTAAATGTCAGACCCCTGGAGAACTCTTCATATGAATGAAAACAACACATTCTATTCATATATTTTAACTTCTCTACATTAATAAATGCGTATCCTCAGTATTCTGGAGGAATGGCACCATCTAGTTTCTCACATATAAAAAATAAAATACAGTAGCCAGCTTTTTGTAACTTGATAACGCAAAATCTTCTGCCACCAACTTCCAGGGTATGCAGATACCTGCACTATTCATAAACACAGAGGACTCATTGCCATCTGTTACGCCCCTTCGCGACAGCCAAATTACACAAAGTAGCTAATGCAAGCGAACATCCTTGGGCAAAAACCTATAAATTATGTAACCATGTGAGATAGCTGGAAAAATCTTGAATTATGGACCTTAAGAGAAATGAAACTATAGAATTTGACGTATAGATACTCCATCTTTTGTGTAAAATTGTTATGCTTACATAGAAAGAAGAATAAGAGCGTGCAACCGAATAGATGACTCTTTCCATTACATTCAACTCAATCTACCAGAAAAAAAGACCACTTTGGATTTGAAGGCTGCCTAGATATTGGGAAAAGCCAAAGTTAACAAGTGAAAAGTATACAAATGACATGTGATTTAAGCACTTCTTGTTACTAAAAACTCACATGTTAATAAAATTCTGATGTTCCAATCTCCAAAGTTAATATCAATCTTAAGTACGCTAAGATTGTATATTTGTAGTATAGAATGAACCTACCACAGTTGAGGATATTCATTAGTCTTGGACCCAAACCCTCACTGTCCTGTCATTATTTAGTCCAGCTGAGAGAATCATGTTTTCTATGGGGTGGCAACACACTGAAATGACGGTATCAGTATGCCCTTCAAATTTCTGCAGCAAATTTTTCCCTTGCAAATCCCATACGTAGACACATTGATCCTCTGAGCCACTCACAATATACTTCCCATTCGTGACTGAAAATGTAGAAGTTATGCAGTACACTCTGTTAACATGACCAGCGTAACTTTTTATGAATTTTCCACTAGAATAGTTCCATAGCTTCTGTACTCGAGGACAATCACAAAAAGCCCAAGTTACAAGTCAGTCGTGCAGGGGAAGTGATATAATTGAATCAAGTCATGTTTTCCATGCTTAAAAGGAAATGTATCATGCAATGGTGCTTCAAAAGGCACTGAATTTTTTGAGTTGTTAAATACTAAACCAATAACAATGAATCAATCCCAAACTAGCTTGGACTTGCTATATAAAAACAACATACCTAGTGTAATCACAGGTAATGCGTATGCAGACCTAACCCTTAACATTGTTTCTGATAGACCCTTGACTCAAGTAAAAGCAATACAAAACAGTTGGAAAAAAAAAAACAAGAAGAAGCCAAGACAAAATGCTAAAGAAAGCATGACAAAACATACTAAAAACAGAACAGACACTACATCAAAATAGTACTTCATTCGTAACCATTTTAATCCAATACTTGTAATTACTTTGTATTTTTCTGTTGCGCATTAGAGATCATCTAAACCTATGAGTTCTCTAAATCTCACACTTGTCCAAAACCTAATGTAAGTGTAACAAAAGCAACAATGCCTTAAATGAAACACGTTGATTGAATTCTTTGCTTTGTTTATGTTCTGTTCTTAACTAAGCCCCAGTCCACATTGAGCTGCTGTTCGATTTTTATCACAAAAAGCCATTTCCTTTGAGCCCAACATATCAACTTCAGATAATGATAAATGATATACACACTAGAAATAGTAAATATTTCTGAATACTTACAAGAGTATTATCTAGGGTGGCAACAAGAATAAACTTGCCATTAGGTGAAAACTTGGCGAAGGAAACTGCTGGAACCTTATCATCAATAAGAGTCTTGAGGCAAGCTCCAGAAGCCGTATCCCATATCTTACAAGACCCATCATGACTACCCGAAACAATCAACGACCCATCTTTGTTGAAATGAACCGAAGTAACTGGCATCGAATGTGCCCTAATCGCGTGGATTGGCTTCCCCGTTTTCACATCCCAGACCCGGAAAGTCTCATCAAACGAACCTGAAACTATGAGATTGGACTGAGGATTAAAATTAACGCAGAAGACAAAGCCAGTATGTCCCCGGAGAGTTTTGACTGACTCAGCTGTGCGTGCATCCCATATACGGAGCGTACGATCGTCAGAGGCGGAGCATATGTAACTTGAATCAGACGACCATGATAGGTCAGAGACGCCTTCGGAATGGCCGACGAGACGTGAAAGCTGAGTTAGGGTTTGGGTGGACCAGACGATTAGGGTTTTGTCCAAGGAGGCGGAAGCAAAGAGTTGTCCATTATTGGCGAACTTCACGCAAGAGACGGCGCTTGTATGTCCGGTGAGAACTTTTTTCTGGCGGTAGGGAAGGTAGGGTGGACTCGTCGGTTGATTGTTGTTGTTCGCCATCGGAATTCGGACTCCGGCCGCGGCGGCACCACTACGCAATCCCTCAACTCGTGTTTTTACACAGATGAAGCACAGATTTGTTATTTACGACTAACGAAAATCCATAAATATACTGATTTTAGTATACATGTACAACTGTATTTCAACGTTAATCAATAAAATTACACGTATAAATTATTAAAAATATATTTAAAAAGACTTGAACCTTATTCAATGGATTTAAACGTTGAATAATGTTGTATAATTAAGAAAGAGATAAATCTTTGGTTTTTTGGCTACTTTATTCCGGCAACAATATGGTTGAGTCGTCCAATTTTTTGATAAAAAAATTTCAACTGAAAGTGAAAACACGATATATTATTAAAAGGGACATCGTCAATTGTTAATTTTGTATAATTTTAAAAAAATTAACTAAAGGAAAACAACTTAAACCAAAAACCAAAATAATTAGAAGAAAACCTAAGGTTGAAGAAGGTATGTTACTCAAATAGACTTATAGATATTTTTTATTGACATATTTGTAAAATTTCAAGTGATTTAGAATGAATTCAGAAGTGTTAAGAATTAATTATTAGTCATACCTAGAATTATTCTAAATAAAAGCATGCTATTTTTAAATATACAATAATTAGGATTCTTGCACGTAGTTAAAGAAAATTCTAAGTTAAAAGGAATTACAATATTCTAAATTTCTTTTTGCAACTCGCTCATAGATAAGCTTTTTGTGTTCAATTTTTTTTTGGTTGACAACTCCGCAGAGGCACTCATTCCCTGACATCAGCTTGGCATAAATACATACAAAGCTAAAGAGTTCTAAAAACATCAGCTTGGCTAACAAACCTAAAGAGTTCTAAAAAGCGTACTACTAAGTTTATATCCATTGATGAAAGGTACTTGGAGCATGCCAAATATTACTGTTAGGGAAGTGAAAGTTGATCTTGCAGAGATTGGTTTTCTTTCTCGATTATGGCTTCTCCATCCTTGAGGTTTTTGTTGTTGTATGTACTACGTATTATATAAACATCAAATTACTTTATTCTGAAACACAGGTAAAGCTAAGAAAAAGCAAGAACTAACACGTATCATAATAATAACTCATCCCAGAACTAAAAGTGAGTTTTCTCTACATATGATCAAATTCCACAAGTTACAAACCAGGTCATTCAAATTCTTTCTCCCCCTTGTGCGTGCAAGGCTTTGCAGGCCAGACCTCAATTAAGCTACATCATGGAGAGAATCAACATAAGCGGAAAAAAGAGAGTACTTATGGCAAATTAATATATATATGCTGAAGGATTATCCCTTATGCAGGCATTATTCGAAGCCTTTCCTCTGAGGTTTGAGATCCCCCAGAAGTACCCTCTTCTGCAAGTAGAGACTGCAAGTCACTGCCATTTGCAAGACTATTGAACTCCACAGCTTTGGATGGCATTGCTGGATAACGTCGTTGGCAGAATGTCATCAGTCTTTTAACTGATTGCAGATACTTCCTAGTTGTCTCATCATTCATGATATGAGCAACACTGTTTGTGTAAATCTTCTCACGAGCTGACCGTTCATGAATACCAACCATAGTAACACCAATAGGCCAAGGTGCATTACCAATTGCCATCTTAATGTACTGATCCATTGCAGCTAGATAGTCCCTCTTCATACAGCATTCAACAACCACAAGTAGTGCTTGCCTAATGTCATCAGGAAGTAACTGCATACAAAAGAAGTAAACCATGTCAAAATAAGCTTCTCATGCAGAAGAAATAATCTGAATAGGAATCTTAAAAGGGAGAATAAAAGAAACATATTGGAATGTTTTATTTTTAAAAAGACAACGACAGAAAGTAAAGACCTTAGACCTCATCATCAGAATTATTAAGCTGCAAGAAGTTCTACTTTACCAGCATATTAAACTCAGATTCAAAACTTCTATGGACTGGGAGATATTTTAGTAGATAAACCAGCAGCACTGCTACATATATATTAGCTTTCCATCTACACACCTTATATACTCCCTATGTTCAGAGTTAGCTCAAGAACCTAGGACTTCTATGGACTGGGGGATATTTTAGTAGATAGACCAGCAGCACTGTTACATAAATATGAGCTTTCCATCTACATACGTTATATACCCCCTATGTTCAGAGTTGGCTCAAGAACCTACCATTAGAAATAAGTTCGGTAATTATCATCTTTCTGCACATAAAATTGGGCTGATCGACAAATAATCACATTGAGATATACTTGGATTTACAAAACTTGTGAATGACTTGTGGATTTTATTGAGTAAAGGGATAGTATGGGAGATATTGGTTTAGCATCCACTATAGTAACAACTAAATCCTTCAACACCTGAATCTTGAGTAAGTTGGGATTGACTATATGAATCTTCAAGAACAGGTCGCTCTATTTAACCTCATCATGGAACTAAATCCAGCATTTGATCAAAATAGAAAATAACCTTGGTTTAACTCTAAAACCCTATGCAAGCATCGAGAAGAGTGTTTAGGTCCCACGTTCTCTCCAAATGCAAGCATCGAGAAGCATTGTGTCATCAACAACATAGTGCTTATTTACTTTCTCAATTATCATTATCAAAAAAAATTTACTTTCTCAATTGCAATGCATGATAGCTTGTCCTAATTCAAGTGTTCACTCCTTTCAAAAAGTGGCTGCTCAATGTACTCTTACCTTTTGCCTATCATCCATCCAGTCTTCCTTCCCTTCTCAGAAAGGAGACTGAGCTTAAGACAAGTTAATTGTGTGTGGGCTTTTCATTTGTACTTTGTGAAGCTAGCAAAATGTTCTATTTCATATAGGCAGATCGAATTGCTTCCAATGAGAAGTTCAATGCAGAAAATGCAAAAGCTTAGAAGCTCGGGCTTTTCCTTTTTGACTAACCCATTCTCATTATCTTAAATAAGCAAAGTAACCTATAGGTCCTTGCTAGCATTGACAGAGGAGGAAGAGTCGGTTAAAAAAAAGCAAATCTTTCCATTTTTCTTATATAATCCATTATCTATTGTATAATAATATGACATAGAATAAGATCCTCTACTACACTTGACTAATCATCATCTATAGAGTTATCATTATCACATGATGAAGGATAGGAGATGAGGTCTAGTGCACAGTACATATACATCAATTAATTAAGTGAATGTTATTTTTTCAGTAATGTAATTAACTTAGGGAATACACGCATCATTCTATATTTATACACAAGAAAAGTGCAAATCTTTTTATGCATGTGCATATAGGGACTGTCTCTTTGTCTGCAAATTCATTGAACCATTAACTCTTCCAGGTCATTATGCCATAGCTACCTCAGAATATAACATCCTTAGTCACATGAGGAAGGGCCAATGGATTCATTAGTTTATCCCATCATCTGCTCAATCCCGGATGGCAATGAGAATTAGAATAGAGATCATAACACAGGATGAGACTATGTGCGGGTAAAATCTAACACAGGATATACAGTAAGAAGGTGCTCTTATCCTTCATCAATGTTCTATAATACGACCTATTTCACCTCCAACAAAGACATTGGAAGAACAAGAGCTCATAAATTTTAAAGATCAAATTCAATCAAACATCAAAGCAAATCAACTCCAGTTATGATGAGCTTATGTGTTAAATCAAAATAAATCATCACTAGATGCAAACACAGACTTCTACAAGAGACTATATAATCTTTTATATCAAAGTTAGAACTCCAACAAAAACGACCATATTCCGTATTGAATTGCGTAGTTTATTCTTTCATAATTTGGATCCACCTAAGACTCAATTCATATGAGTCTAATTAAGTAAATTTCTAATTAAGCTTCAATTTCAAGCAATTGTGTTGATGAAGATAGACAACTAATATAAAGCTTGCAGCTTTGCAGAAACTAAATATAGCATCTACACAAACCAATTAAAAGGGAAGTCAACAGTTACCTTTTTCCTGCAGAACTTGAATAGCGGATGCAAGTACCTAGCACACTGCTTAAAAGTAGCGACCATGGATTTCCCCTTGGCCGTCCGCTTTTCAGAATCAGTCATCTCATCAAGCTCCTGATTCCACTCATTCAACAACTTCTTAAAGAACACCAAAATCTTATCTTCATCACACAACTCAACAAAATTCGTTTTCATCCTCTTCAAATCCTTATCATGATCAACCCCCGAGGAGTTTCCATCTCCACTCAAATCTTCGTCACCACCTCCTCCATCTTTATCCTCACCAGAATCCTCCGTTACCTTCCGCTTCCTTTCACTCATCATCCCCGACTTCTGCCGTTTCTTCAATTCCACAATATCCCTCAAAAAGTCATTGGTTTGCCCCTCAGTCATGTCAGAATCGTCAATTTCGAACGTTCCAGCTTTTAATACAAACTTCAAACGATCAAGCCTCGCCTCCTCATCTTCACCAAATAAAGTCACCGGTTGTTTCAGAAACCTAAGTCGACGAATAACTTCTTGTCGAGGGAGGTTTAATCCATCGATTTTTTGCTCGTCGGTAAGTGCTTTAGATACCGATGAAGATGATGAATCCTGCTTGAGGCATTGAGTATCGGTTTTGGAGTTTGATTTTGATGAGGAATCATCGGTAGACTTCTGGTTCTGTTCCAATTGCTTTTGACGGAGGGCTTTGGCCTCAGCTTCGCGTTTTTCCTCTTCGCGAATCCTCTGGAGGCGCTTCTGTTCGATCTCCGACCGCTTGAAAACTTTCCGGCCACCGACGTCTTGGGCCAGATTTTTCCGACGTAGCTCCAATTCCTGTTTCAGTATATCCATCGGCCTAGGGTTTCTCTTGCTCCGATAATTTTCCCAAAAAAAAGAAAGAGGAGAAAAGACGAACGAACAGTCTGTTATTCTAATTGGGGATTGGGACCCTGAAGTCCTGTATATATATTTTTCTCCCCTTTTATTTGAGTTTATGTCTCAAACAGCACACGTTTTTAGTCTCCTTAAAATTTATGAAACTTTATTTGTTAGATTTGACGAAAATGATGAAAAGAAAGAAAATTAGTAGAGACTTATATTTAGAGATTAAATATTTGTAAATTTTGCTTTTAGAAGTATAACGTAATTTT